GAAGACAAAGAGGTTTGATCATTTGAGCTCAAGAGTTTGAGCTTCAGTGATCTAAAAACTGGTATAGGTAGGAAACAGAGTAAGTTAAAGCTCCCATGCCAATCATCACTAGGATTTAACCTTTAAATTGTTAATGCCTTCCATCTTGGATGACATAGGAAAACCTAGTCTCGTTAAGCTACAAATAAAAAAGAATACAGTAGATTTCTAAATAATTACTGTTATTAAAATAATTATGGAGATTATGCTAGATTTCACATTTTAATATAACCAAAAGCATTTGATTTCATACAAAAGTAAACATTTATACCTAGATATTCAAGTTTGGTAAATAGTTCTATATTTTATCTATAATAAATAGAAATAGTTGACCTGTGGTCAATTCAATATCTAAACAATAGAGCAATCAACTCAAATGTATTTATCAAACATCTAACATGCATCAGGTACTATCCTAACAGATGGAAATTCAAAGAAAAGAATAAATTCTCCACCCTTAAGGATCTTAAAGTTATTGCAGAAAGCCATATGCATCTGTATAATAAGATTGAAAATAATTAGGGAAGGGCATGCTAGTACCTGTGAATGAAGTAGAGAAATAATATGGCACTTGAATTGAGTTCACTTTAATACATACCATCTTTAATTGTAGAGTCTTATATTCATTGGGCCAGGCATTCTTTTTTAACAACTTAAATTCCATAAAATTGAACCTATAACATCTTAAGTATGCATAACAAAAAAAATTGTTACCAAAGAAACCCTTGTGCTTATTTCTCAGATATGAAGAAAAAGTAGTTCAATAAGGGTGATTTGATAAGATTGATTAAGTACATTATGAAACATTCTGAAGCAAAGCAAATACTCTTTACTTTGCACAGAATAAGATGAAATGTGCATGAAGAGTTTGAAGGACTGAGGTTATATATGACGAAAAATACTTTAACTTTGAAGGTTATTAAATATAGATAAGAATGGATTGCTAGTCAAGGTTAATGAAAAACTTCCAAAGAAGTTTAGATCAATGATGTGGTGTAGAGAAGAGAGCTAAATTTGAAATTAGAGAACCTCAGTTTAGATTCTACCTATGGTGTTTACTACCTATGTTACTGTGGGTAAATAATTTAAGTTCTCTGGTTCTAAGTTATTGTTGTTCAGTCATTCAATCAAATCTGACTCTTTGTGACTCTGGATGGAGTTTTCTTGGCAAAGATACTGGAGTGGTTAGCCATTTTCATCTCCAATGGATTAAGGCAAACAAAGGTTAAGGGACTTGCCCAGGGTCATATAACTAGTAATGTCTGAGGCTGAATTTGAACTCAGATTTTCCTGACTGCAAGTCCAGTGCTCTATCCACTAAGCCATGTAGCTGCCCTGGTTCTAAGTTACCTCAACTGTAATATTAGGGTTTGGATGAGATGATCCTTAAATTTCCTTCCTTCCACACATATTCACTTGATAATTGTTTGTTGTTCAGTTGTTTCATTCACGTCTGACTCTTCATGACCCCACTTGGAATTTTCTTGGCAAAGATACTAGAGTGGTTGACCATATCTTTCTCCAGTTCATTTTACAGATAAGGAAACTGAGGCAAACAGGGTTGTGTAATTTGTCCAGCGTCACACAGCTAGTAAGTGTATGACACTGGATTTGAACTCACGTCTTCTGACTCTAGACCCAGTGCTCTATCGTAGGTTCTAATGACAATTACTTACCTATTATTGAATATAGTTATACCATTTGGTGAGTTTTCTTTGTGAGATATAACCTTATAGGTTTTGAAGAATAGACCTAACATATATTCACAATGTTTTGACCTCCATTCTATGTGAAGATTTGAGGATGTACAATTAGACAAATTAAGATCCTTTCAACCTGTTTTCCCTTCCATTTTCTAGGTTAAAGTAAAAACCATGGAAAATATAATTCATTTAATGTGACTTTTAGTTTAAAAAATAATATTGCATCTATAACCACCAGAATTCTTCAGGATATTTACTTTTAATCATTCTCCAAATATATTCATTAGCATATCTATATTAACCTGGATGAATAATACAATGCATAGAACCTTAATTATAGGTGTGAAGTCCTCACTTCATTAATGACACACACTGGCTCAGTGACCCTGGGTAAGTCATTTCATTTCTCAGTGCTCCAAAACAATTTTATAATACCACAGCTGCAGAGAAGATGCTGCCTAATGTTAGCAGAAGGAGGTTCTCAGTGTTAGTTCCCCACCCAAAATAAATCAGAGGTTGAGCATTTTTTATTTAATCTACTACTTTTGATGTGTTTAAGAATCATACCATGAGATCATACAAAAATATGTTTGTGTTTAACATTGTGTGTGTGTGTGTGTATGTGCACGTGTGCATATGCAGGCATGTGTGTTTTAGAATTGTGTTCTGATCATTTTCTAAAACACTGATCCATTGCAAAACAGTCTGTATATATTTTTTCACAATGGTAAATTGTAGTTAACAACAACAAAAACTAAACAGAAACAGAATGTTTTCCTTAGTTTTCAAATTCCTTCCCTTCCCCAGCAGTCACCAGTCCATTGAAACCCAGAAAATTACTTCACAGACACTGTACATATTTGTTGTATTTATATATTTTAACAGTTAGTTGGAATAAAAAAAATCAACCATTGATGGAAAACTACCAAATTTTCAAACATTGATATCTGCTTTCTGCTATAGTTTTAGTACTGGAGCTCCCAGTACATAGGTACTATTTTCCCGAGGCCTTATGTAAGTAAAATTACATAGTCTATTCTCAATTCAGTGAAAAAAGTGACAGATAAAATTTTTGTTCAGAGAAAGTAGGTTTGTCCAGAATAGTTCATCATCTTGATTTCTCCTAAAGTGACATTTTCTGCTTAAAGTGTCCTGTTGTTTTCTGGTATTTTCGACTTAGAATTGAGAACCCACTTAAACACATCATATATAATTTAGACTTTTTTTTTGCTTTGACCCAAGAACTAGGTGGTCCAAGGATTTAATTGAACCCCTAAACCTAGTGTGTATATACTGTCTACAGTGTTCCTGGCAAAAGATCACCCAATCTCTGTTTGAAGACCTTCAGAATGGGGAGCCAATACGCTAGAGAAAATGTTTAGAAGTTTTTCCTTTAATTGAGCTCAAATCTGCCTTAGTTTAAAATTAGTTTGTTACTTTTATCTTGGTAGTGACACAATGTCAATCTAAGGTCTCTCCTACATGCTAACACTTCAGTTATTTGAAATAATAGTAATAGTAATCACATATTGCCAAAGCTATCTCTTTTCCATGGTTGACATTCCAGGATTCTCATCTGATCCTCATATAAAATAATGTCCCCTCGCCTTCCTGGTCACCCTCACCTAGATGTGATCCAATTACTCAATATAGTTCCTGAAGTGTGGTCCTCAGAACTGAACACAAAACTTCCCAAAGGCTCTGACTACTAAAGGTGACCATGGAATAGTGTTATCTTTGGTCTTGTATGATATAGCTATAGACAAAATAAATATGTTTGTTTTCAGAAGCTTATTCACACTTGTGGGGCACATTTTGCTGACATTCCTAGTCCTTTTATACAGGTTTTGTCTAATGATTTCTGTCATATATGTTTGTAAAGTTTATGTTTACCCTTAAATTTCAGGTATTTATTTTGCCTCTATTTAGTTTGACCACATTAGAATTAATTCCCAAACACCGTTCCAATTTTTGATCATATGAAGAGGTAGTAGGGCATAATTGATAGAGATTTGGCCTCATAGTTGAGAAGATACCAATTTGAATAATTCCTCTCTCATGTGTTGGCTGAGTGACTATGAGCAAGTCAGTTATCCTTATGGTACACATACAACTTATAAATTGTGGAACACTTATTCCTTTGTATTTGTTGTGAAATTTTTTTCTAGGAGTTCCATGTACCAGTGAAAGTACTGATCCAAGTCAAAAAGTTTAACTATGCATCCCAATTTGTTTTATCCTCAAATTTAGGTTAAAAAAGACATTTCATTAAGTGATAATTATGCTGAATAAATAAAATTATGTGAAATTACTTTACTTCTGTGAAAAATAGAATAAAAATAAAGGCTGGGAGCAACCCTCATTTTCTTCCAAGACATGAAATTACTAATGAAAACTCTTTATCTCTCTCTATCACTATCATCACATTTAAAAAAACTGTTTATATCTGAGGGTAAAAAAATCATAAACTTCAAATACTTTTACTTACAACTAACAAGTCAGGAAATATATTTTCACATAAATATATTGTCATTCCTGCTATCTTTTTACCCTTCCCCTACTCTCCTATCACCTCCTTTCTAATAGAAACTAGACTCCTCCTCATCCATCTTGCTACCAATCCTCAGCCTCCCAGTTGTTATATGTGAGCTTTTTGCTATATAATTTCAGGAATCAAACCTTCACACTGGCTGGGTGTGTATCTTCCCTGTACGTGGGCCATATGCATTTCCCTAATATGCATCTCCCTTCCCAGCAAGCCTTTGTGAAATGTTATACCCTGTTAAAATGGTAGTCCCTTGAGGGCAGATAATATCTTGTTTGCTTTTATTTGTATACTCAACAATTAGCAAAGTTTCTGGCATACATTAAGTGATTAATAGTTCCATCTTTCTATCCTTCTTTCCATCCATCCTTTCTTCCTTTCTTCCTTCCTCCCTCCCTTCCTCCTTTCCCTTCCCCAACAAAGGAATAAGAATTGGGAAATCTGAGTTAGAGCCCATGGTCCCTTATTCCCTAATTGTGTGACCATGGCCCAAACTTGTAATTTATCTACCTCAATTTCTACAACTACAAAATAAAACAAATGATAGTCAGATAGATATCCCTATAGGATAGGATCAGTTTTAAAATGCATATGAAAATGACCTGGAAAGTATAAAAATCTATGCCAAATTTCATGCTTCTACTTGAATTAAACATTTTGATCTCTAACAAAGCCATATTTCCAACCCACTCAGTGTCACCTTCTTTTCTTACCAGTTGCTGCCCTTGTACACCCCAAGCTGCATACTGCAAAATGGAATCCTCGACCTCTGGAGGGTTTAACTCCCAAACTTCCCTTGAAAAAATGCAAACATTTTATATAAATAAATTAATACTAATACTAAAAAATCACAGAAAATTGGATAAAAAGCACATGGAAAATCAAAGAATTTACCTCGTATGTATGTTGTAAATCACATATGAGGCTGTGTATGAATAATGATAAACCTGAAATGACAATTAAAGGATAATTAGTCATGCTGCCATGTAATAGAAACATCCAAAGATACAGATATATGAGACATGTAAAAGAAATCCAGGTAATGTCTGCCAACATTTGTTTGCAGATTACATCAGGTTTATTTGAAAACTAAGGACAGCTGTTGGTGGAATTGAAGGGGAGAAGAAGAGAAGGAGGAGGGATCTTCCAACTTGTCCTATTAATGTCAGAGATTGATATGGTAAATATTGTGTTTAATCTATGTGTACGAGCCTTAGGACTCTCTCTGTCTCTCTCTGTCTCTCTTTGTCTTTCTCTGTCTTTGTTTCTGTCTCTGTCTCTCTCTGTCTCTGTCTCCCTCTCTCTGTCTCTCTCTCTTTCATCCTCTCCTTCCTATAAGTTCTATCTCCCTGAATCATTGCCTACTGTTCATCAAAAGTGAGGGGAAGAAAGAAGCAATAAGAACTTTGTTCTAAAAGACAGCATAGAATCATGAAAAATGAGAGAAAATCAGAGCTCGATAGGACCTTAGAAGTATTATGTCTAAACTGTATCAAAGAAAGAATCCCATGTACAATATTCCATGGAAGTAGTAATCCAGTTGAATTATAACTTAATACCATACCATTCCACTCTTAAATTATGCTCAGGAAATAGTCAATTCTATACAGATGAAATTTGGTTCTTTGAAACTACTACCCATTTGTATTTTTTTCTTCCCTCATGGACTGAGGAAATAAATCTGATCCATTTTTTTATGTGATACTTTTTAAAAATACAGGTGTACATAGATCTATTTTGCCTCTACTAAGTCTTCCCCACCCCCCAGGATTAACATTCAAATTTCCTCTCACGGATTCTTGTGTGCATTAGAGAGAGTCGAGGGTGCCCTAAGGTTAGGTCATGGAACCAAGGTTCCTTGTCTCAAGTAATAATGGAAATCATTTGGAGGAACAAAGAGTGAAGAATCTTAAGAGAATTTTAAAAGAATCAAAAAAGAAAGTAAGTAGTATCAGATCTCATACTATGCTATAAAACAATGATAATGAAAATTATTTACTGATTAAACAATAAAAAAGGTGATCAATGAAACTGATTAAGTACACAAAATATATAATCAAATGGACACAAGAGCATAGTGCTAAATCAATCCAAAGACTCTCTTCTGCAAGAGCTGGAGCAAGGACTACACTATTCAATAAAATCTTATGGGAAAACTGACAAACATTCTGGGAGAAATTAGATTTAAACCAAAATCTCACAGTGTATACCAAGATAAATTCAAATCCAATGTCTGTCTTAGACATAAAACAACTACTTCATTAAGAAAAATAAATGGAGGTGCAAGGAAAGAAACCTAAGGATAGGAAAATCAATTGTGAATAAGAGAATAAAGAGGATAACAAAAGACAAAATGAAAAATTTTGATTATGCAAACTGAAGGTTTTTCATAAAACAATTAATAGTTAAAATGAAAGGAAAATAGTTAACTATTAAGACCTTAAGTTTCTCTGCTAATGACCTAAAGTACACAAGGAATTGATACAATTATATAAGAACAAGATCAAGTAGTTATATGATGTGAACTTTCAATGGACATATAACAAATTCTACAAAAAAAGTAAAAATCATAGAAATGCAAATTAAAGCAGCTTTGAGATTCTAACTCATGTCATTATCATTTCAAATGTCAACAGAGGGAAAATGAAAATTGATAAAACTGCTGAATGAAAACAGAAATTCTCATAAATATTTGTTTGAGCTGTGATGTGTTCTAGCTATTATAGAAACCATTTTATAACTGTACCTCCAAAGTTATTAAATGATGCGCATTCTTTAAACAAGAAATGTATCACGATTAGTCCTATAAACAAATACACACACACACACACACACATATATATATACATACATATATACATACACATACACACACATATAAGAAATAGGAAAAGGACCTATATGTATGAAAGTATTTAAATTAGTTTTTTTGTAGTGTCAAAAAAATAGAAACTAAGGGAGTATCCATCAATTGGGAACTAACCAAACAGATTTAGAATATGACTTGTAATGACCTATTATGGAGACATTAAAAACTGGTGAAAGAGGTGATTCCTAAAACCTGGGAATATGTGTATGAACTGATGCAGAGCAAGCTAAGCAGAACTCAGTTGATGACTTATAAACACTGAGAAAAGCATGAAAAATTGTCTCTGCCATCAACCATGAGCATAACACACATTTTCACACATGGATAATGTGGGCATTTCTTTTGCACAATTATGCATATTTGGTATAAGATTTTTTTCAATTCAGGGTGAAGGAATGAGAAAAGTAAGGGAGGCAGCTAGGTGGTGAAGTGGATAGAGCACCTGCCCTGGAGTCAGGAGGACCTGAGTTCAAATCTGGCCTCAGACACATAACAATCACTGACTGTGTGACTCTGGGCAAGTCACTTAACCCCAATTGCCTCACAAAAAAAAAATGGAGAGTAAGGGAGGTTAGTTATTAGGTTACTAAAATTATTTCAAAAAGAAGAGGAAAAAATAAGAAAAATTGTCACTGGAACATTTTATAAATGAGTATGACAGTACAAAAGTAAAGAAATATTTTATAAATGGAAAAGATGAAGAAATGGTAATACCTCTGGTTATTCAGTGTTTTTCATTTTCTGTACTATACTAGAAATTCTGAACTCTACAAAACTACTATGACTGAAGTGATGGGAATTTTTGTATCAAAGGGAATACATTTTTGATTACACAGTCCTTAGCATATACTAACTGCTAGTGTGTGTGTGTGTGTGTGTGTGTGTGTGTGTGTGTGTGTGTGTAGCAGGCTTTTTTTCTATCCCACAGATTGAAATCCCACACATTTAGGCTCAGGTATGATGTGATAAGTACAAACATCTATCAATTACTCTTTTAACAAGATTTAGATTTAAAAAGCATTTGGTTTTTGTTTCTTTGTTTTTTCTTTTAGTATTATTTTTAATTTATGGAATAAAACAAACATTTCCATAACATAGATCAATAACATAGATCAATAAAAAAGATGATTGTATGTGAAACTGCATTTATTAAGTGCTTACTATATGCCAAGTACTGTATTAAGTGCTTTGTAAATATTATCTCATTTTATCCTCACCATAATTCTGAGAAATAATTATTATTCTTACCTCCATATTACACATAAGGAAATTGAAGAAGATAGAAGTTTCAGTGACCTTTTCAGAGTCATAGTTTTAGTAAGTTCCTGAAGCCACATTTGAAATCATATCTTCCTAACTCCAGGCCCAGTGCTCTTGTCCACTGAGTCACCTAGCTGCCTTTTGGAGAAAAACATACCAACTCCATACCCTTTAATTTTACTGATGTTTTAACACACACACACACACACACACATTTTCTCTCTAAACAGATTTAAACAAAATGTAGTAGGTTCTTGATATGATCTAAAATTATCTCTGAAATTAACATAAAAAAGCTTTCATTACTTACATAATTGATCAAATCCCTTAAGCTCCTATGCCACGAGAACTGGGGAAATTATTTTCACATATATTCTCCCTATTCTCTTACTCTCAAACACTAAACTCATAGTAACAATCAAAGACGAATATTACTGACCACATAATTTATTAACAATAACAATGCAAAAATATAAATAAATATTTAAACAATGTATCTGATATGAGAAAAGTAACAGTTAAAGTCACGTCTGTGGTGTGGGGGAAAATATCAATAAATAAGGTACTGTCGACTTGAATTATCTCACAACTGAAATTTATGACCCTTCCAAAATATTGGAACCATAGTCCAATACCAACAATTCACTTCTTTTCAAAATGTAGCTTACTGAGTTCCTTTAAGAATTCCATTTTATTTCTCAGATGTCAGTTAACGGTTCACTTCACCACAAAATATAGCAGTTTAGTTCTCCGAAGAACAGCAAGTTCTCTAAGTTTCCTAACCTTCACAAATTCTCCTCAGAATGGTTTATTCGTTGAATAACAGTAACAGTTCATTTTTAATTAAGAGTAAAAGACAGTTAAACATTCATTTTGTCTCCAGATTTGTATGCTGTTTACCCTTTCTAAATGTCTCGTCACTTCTTGAAATATTAGCTATCTCTCAGTCTTCAAAATTCACACACATATATATTTACAGAATCATATGCATATATCTATATATTACACATATACATATTACATATTTGTATATATGGTTCACATATATGAAATTTTAAGTTATAAATTATCTCTCTTGTGTTGGTAGCTGTTCAGTGGTTTTTCAGTCATGTTGAAGAGAATGATGAGGTTCAGGAGTTGGGTTGTCTGAAAGAATGCTAGAGGCATATTTTCTCCTAGTCAAGAGACCTTTATTGATGCAAAAGCAACTGGCAAGCCCTGGAAGGACTAGCAGTTTGCAAGAAGAAAGAGGTTTGTTTTTATACACAATTTTTCAGCACTTAGCCAAGAGTAGAATATTTTCCTATATGAGTAATTAACCATAGGGAAAGAGGAAGCAGGAAAAGGAAGCAGGTGTCCTGAGTCTAATTCAAGGATGTCATCACAAAACAAGGAACGTAGCTTGCAACAGTATAGGGGGTGCTAATTACATACATAGTATGGGCTAAGGAAGGAAGGCTTTTGTTATCTGATGGAGCTTCCTATTACTGGGCAGATTTAGATGAGGTCATCATATGTGTTGGGCAGAAGTTAGCCTCATCAATGTCTGATGCTTTATGATGCCATGTGGGGTTTTCTTGGCAGAGACACTGGAATGGTTTGGCATTTCCTTCTCCAGGTCATTTGACAGATGAGGAAACTGAGGCAGAGTTAAGTGATTTACTCAGAGTCACATAGCTAGGAGGTATCTGAGGCCATATTTGAACTCAGGTCTTTCTGACTTCAGGCCTAGTACTCTATCTACTGCTCCTTGTAGCTGCCCTTCTATCTATCTAATGAGCAATAAATATTATTTCTTCTATTCTACTATTTTAAAAA